TAGGAAGACAGTAGAACTAATTACAAAGTATGAGGTAAATCATTCATTCCCCCGGCCTTTGGAGTTAGTGTTCAACACATCGTGGTGGAGGAGAGTCTGGAGGCATAAAGGCAAGAAGACTGGCGCTTTTTTATATGCGGTCAGTGAATGGGAACGGGCAGCCGACGAGGTCATTCACTGGTATGGCGGGATACCTCCCCAGAGGAAGTAGTTCCTTTCCAAGAGGATGGGTTAGTTGCAGCCTGTCCCGATGAAGAAGGTCTTGAAGAATGTCCTCTGAAACCAAGATTCCATGATGTGTTGCGTGTCTGACAAGTTGTGCAAAGAAAGGTAAACAATACCGACAATAATGAAATTTAAGACACATGTGCAACATCAGGATATCTTTATTGTAGTAGACGATTTCGCCATCCAGTGGCTTTATCAATACAGAATCTAGGACTAATAGGTAAACAGTAGAACTATATACAAAAGATTAGGTATCAGTCCTCCTCGCCTGGAGTTATTGTTCACAGCATCGTTGTGGAGGAGAGTCCTGGAGCAAAGGCAAGAAGACTGCGCTTTTTATAGGCGTCGTGAATGGGACGGGCAGCAACAGTTCAGTCACTGTGTAGGCGGATTCCCCAGTGGAAGTAGGTACATCCCAAAGAGATGGGTTAGTTGCAGCAGCCGTGTAAGAAGGTCCTTGTAGATGTCCTCTGAACCAAGATTCCATGATGTTGCAGTGTCTGGACAAGTTGTGCAAAGAAAGGTAAAAAATACCGACAATATGAAAGTTAAGACACATTTGCAACATCTGGATATCGTTTATGTAGTAGACGTTTCGCCATCCAGTGGCTTTTATCAAAACAAGATTCTAGGGACATAATAGGAAGGACAGTATAACTATATACAAAAGATGAGGGAGGGCTGATTACCTCATCTTTTTGTAAATAGTTCTACTGTCTTCCTAAATTCCTAGAATCTTATTGAAACAGCCACTGGAATTGCGAAACGACTACTACAATAAAGAATATCCAATGTTGCACATTGTCTTAACTTATCATAATGTCTTTATTTAATACCTTTCTTGTTGCGCGCACAACCTTGTCAGACCTGCCACATGCGATGGAATCTTGGTTCATGAGACATCTAAAGACCTGCTTCACGGCTGCTGCAACTAACCATCTCATTTGGGAAGGACCTACTTCCACAGTGGGAATCCCGCCTACCAGTGACGACCTCGTCTGCTGCCCGTCCCATTTCACTGACGCCTAATAAACAAGCGCCAGTCTTCTTGCCTTTGCTCCAGACTCTCCTCCCCCAGATGCTGTGAACCACTAACTCCAAGCCGATGGCGATTACCTCATCTTTTGTATAAAGTTCTACAGTCTATCCTATTAATGTCCTAAATCTGAATAGATAAAGCCACTGTATGTCGAAACGTCTACTACAATAAAGATATCCAGATGTATGACACATGTGTCTTAACTTTCATATTGTCCGGTATTTCTACTTTCTTTGCAACTTGTCAGACCTGCAACAACAGGAAGTCTTGGTTCAGAGACATCTACAAGACCTTCTTCACGGCAGCTGGCAACTAACCCATCTCTTTGGGAAGGACCTACTTCCACTGGTGAATCACGCCTACCAGTGACTGACCTCGACCTACTATCCCCGTCCCAATCACTTGACGCCTAAAAAAAGCGCCAGTCTTCATGCCTATCACCAACTCTCCTCCAACACGATGCTGTGAGACACAACTCCAAGGCCGAGGACTGATTACCTCATCTTTTGTATATAGTTCTACTGTCAACCTATTATGTCCTAGAATCTGTATTGTTAAAGCCTCCCCCTCCACACCCCCACCGCCCCCCCCCCCCAAAAAAAAAAAAATACCTGGAAGGCGAAACGTCTACAACAAACAGATATCCCGATGTTGCAAACAAGTGTCCTTAACTTTCATATTGTCGGTATTTTATCCCTGTTTCTTTGCAGAAAAAATGTGGGGAAAAAATATAATATATAAAAGGGTTGGGGGGGGAGGGAATATTGGGAGTTTGGTTGTTTGTTTTTTGTTTTTTTGGTTGGTTATAATTGGATGAAAATGATTATGATGGGTTGAAGGGGGTATTGGTATGAGTATTGAAGTATTCAAGGCTGCTGCAACTAAACCATCTCTTTGGATGGACCTACTTTACACTGGGGAATACCGCCTACCATGTGCACTGACCCTCGTCTGCTGCCCGTCCAATTCACTGACGCCTATAAAAAAGCGCCAGTCCCTTCTTTGCCTTTGCCCTCAAGACTCTCCTCCACCACGATGCTGTGAACACTAACCTCCAAGGCCGGAGGACTGATTACCTCCTCTTTTGTATATAGTCTACCTGTCTTCCTATTATGTCACTAGATCTGTATTGATAAAGCACTGATGGCGAAACGTCTACTACAATAAAGAGTATTGCAATGTTGCACATGTGTCTTAACTTTCATACCTAACTGTTGCATATGTGGTCTTACCTACAACCTGGTCGGTATTTTTATACATTTTAATGTTCAATCTGTCAGGACACTGCAACACTAGGGTATCTGGGTACAGGACCTGCAATCAACCTTCGACAACTTCCATCTAGTGAATCGGCTGTTTTTGAGAGGGACCTGACTCTTTCAAACATCTGAGTTTCTTACCTCTCCTAGTGGCCTACGTCTCACAGTCTTGTGGCGCTATAAAAGCTCCATATCTGTTCACTTCATCTCCCATAGTATTTTTCATACTATGGAACAATGCTCTTTCACCAACTGAGGAGGACTGAACAACCTCAAAACATTGTAAGGAGATGAACTGATTACATCGACCTTCAAGTATCTTCCTGCTTCAATCAACTTATCTGTACTTGACTGAAGAAGCCTACTGTGAGGCGATACGTTTCATAATAAGATACCAACTGTTCATATGTGTCTTACCCCTAACAATCACAGGAGTCACATGATTTCATCGTCTACCCGTACCCTCATCAAAGGTAAGAAGTTGGTGTTTTGAAAAGGACCTCCTCTGCATTGGCCAGTAGGCCTTCTAACAGTGTACCTCAGTTCTTATGTTCTTATGACATTACCTCAGGGTGTCACGTGCGTCACATCTCACTCTTCCGCTCTATATATAAAATGTCTTTCATAACTCTGTATGTTAGAAGTGATCAAGGTCCCAGGACCGAAAACGTTTTCTAATAAATAATGTTATATGTGTTTGCTACTTGTCTTTCTAAACCAACTTGTCGTATTTATTACCAAGGTTTATAACCATCTCAAGATGTTATAAGTAACAGAAGGTCCCAAAAGTTTATTTTAACAGCTCTAAACATCACTAGTGAGGCCTCATTTAGATTATGTCTGCTCCAGTTTGGTCCCCTTACTACAGGGATGGACAAGACTCATTAGAGACCAAACAGAGAAAGAATGACTAAAATGATTTTACTGTAGAAGACAGAAACTAAAGCCTTAACCTCCACTCTCTGAGAGGCGTAGAATGTGGGGAGGATATCAATGAAGTAGTATAAGTGGAAATGACGTGGCAAGAACAAGGATCCATTAAATAAAGAACTGAGGTGTCGGAACCAGGTAAGAACCAGGAAAATGGATTAATTGGATAAATTTAGATTTTAGAAAGGACAGTTAGGTTAAGTACTCTGGTATTTCCCTAACAGATTTGAGATGCGTTGGAACATTCTTCCCCCAGAGAGGTGGTGAAGAGGCTAGGACCTTGGGGTAGCTTTAAGAAAGAAACGACAAAAAATATATGAGTGGGAGGGGCTGGGTTTGATTGGTGTCACTGGGTACGGAGTTTATTTCTTGGGGTAGCTTTAGTTGTAGAATTTTTGTTTTGATAAGGACCTGCCTCGTATGTGCCATTTAGAGCCTTCTGCTGTGTTCCTACATGGAAATATAAAACAAATGTCAGTATAATGATATTCCTTTATTGACAACGTTTCAATCCCACCCACCACAGTGGGCTTTGTTCAACCTCACACAACGATCTACCTGGGGTTGGAAGGTACGAAGTATTTATAGTCATGATGATGTCAGGTGGCGAATGCGGGCAGCTATGATCTACGGTGGGTGATAGAGTCTTGGGTAGCATGGCAGGGTGTATTGGACAAGTTTGTGAGTAGACTTCTGCACTGTTCTAGTGTTCTTAATGTGGGATCGCGATGAAGAAGTTTCATGCGAGTGGTTCAGCTATGATATAGAAGCCTAGTTCTGTTGAAATTGTTTGTTATAGAGATAAACGGGATTCCAGATTCTTCTTTATGATTGTTGTCGTTCTGTGGCATAAGGTCTTGAGTTTCTGAGTAGTTAATTAAATGTTGTGTTAATTGGATGTGTATCACCACTTCCTTGTATCGTCAGTCCAGCTTGCATATTGGAGTTCTTGGAAAATACGTTTTGGAGGTCCTCCTTGATGTTTTCGGCCCCACCTTAAGTTAGTTGACAGTCATTACAAGGGATTTATTTATACGCCCTGCAGAGGATGTAGGCTTGTCCTGTCTACTACTGGTGATGTCCTATGAGTGGTCCGTGTTGTGTAAGGTAGATACAGTGGAATGAAGTTTTTTAGGCAAGCGAGTTGTAAACATGTATTTGTCAAAGGAGTTGGTGGTAAGAGAGACAATGTACACTTCTCGGCCAGTGTCTTCTCTGGGTGTGTTGAAGAATGTTAAATGCTCGCCGTCAGCAGACCACTGAAGAATAGTTCGAGGATAGTGGAGATTGTGAAAATACTTGTTACCAATTATAGTGCCAATCTTCCTCAAGGAACTCGTTGCAGCAGATTCTGAGTGCACTGCAGGAAGAAGCCTGCGTGCTTCTTCCTGCGACCATCAAGGACATCCCCAGTAGTAGACGGACAAAGCCTCCTTCCTCAGCAGGGGTATACATAATCCCTTTGTAATGACTGCAACAAATTAAAGTGGGCGAAACAACCAAGAAGACCTACAAATTCTTTCATTTTTTCAACTCAGGGCACAAGTTAAATTCATTGGAAGAGTGAAAGAGACGGTGAGAGAAAACGGCCGCGCCTGCTCAGTGCTGTCTACGTGAGTTTCCAGCTGATCCAGTGTAAGGCAGCAGACGACGTGAGGAGCTCCGCGTACGCTATATTATAAGACCTCTCACCTCCCCGTTACACCTCTCAGTGTCTCTGTGCGTTTGTGTGTTGCGTGAGACTTTACCATGGCTGCTGCAGCAACCAACGCCGTCTACAGCCAGGTGTTTAAGGTGAGTGGCGGCGGCGGCTAGTGATATACATCAGGTTTAATAGACAGTTTGCTGATAATGTTGCACAATGTTCTATTCTTTGTTTTATATATATCTAGAAAGATGTTTTAATGTATTATAAATTCAAATTTAACCGTTATCACTCAGGTACTAACGAAATATTTGACTAAGCAACATAATTGATTTTCACAATTGCATCACTGGGATTTTTCTCAGTGACTCAGTACCTTTGATTTTTTTTAAATTCACGCAGATACACACACTCAAATATACACCATTGATTGACAGTAGGTATAAGTGGAAGAGCGCACGTGAAGGTGCCTAGCTCCAGGCTAGTGTCTCAGGAATTTGGGTTTCCATGTATACTTTTTATCGATATATCATAGCGTTACTGCATGTGAATGTTGATTGGGCTTGAGTGACTTAAAAATTGTTTGACGGAATTTCTCTGACGTGGCAACAAAGTCGGTACAAAAAATACGGTCCATATCATTGACCTGGCAGCCTGGTTAATATGAGTGGGAGGGACTGGGTTTGATTGATGTGGGTACGGGAGTAAATTCTTGGGTAGCTTTGGGTAGTGGTTGTTTTGATAAGGACCTGCCTTGTATGGGCCAGTAGACCTTCTGCAGTGTTCCTCCATTCTTATGTTATTTTATATACAACGAAAGTTGTCTCGCTGTTCATATGCTGAGAGTACTAATCCCTATTTTAGGTTATATGCAGCTTTATTAACCCCAGTGTAGTAGATCTCCCCGACTCTCCAACCCCCTTTCCTTTCCCCCTCGTTCTATATTTTTTTTACTTAGCTTTTATATATTTGTTTTTGTACTTTAGTTCATTGTCACATTGTATTTTGACAAACTTTCATTTCCATATTTATCTTAATGTGTTTCCAGCTTTCTAAGCATGTTTTCATTTTAAATATACACCAGAACGCACAAATATCTTCGATCCTGGAGGTGCCTCGTATTTTAATGCTTCAGTATCAACTTGTCATAACTGGGTGTTTCGTCTCTCTTCATCCATGTAAGACTTCCACAATCTTGGACAAAACTTTATTGCATTATATTCAATCACTTTGTTCATCATGTCTTCCACTGCGAATCCTGTGTTTCATCCATGTCCTGAACTGTACATAAGTGTCTTTTTTCCACATCTTGTCGGTATCACCATATCATTCCCCCTATAATTTTTCTGTTTACCCAGTGTGATTCCGAGGATTCGATTTTTATTTCCCTCTGTTAATTGCTCAGTGATGCTGCTGCTTGTATTTCTTTTTTGTACTCCAGATAATTTGCTGAGTCGGTAATATCGGTTACTATCAGTACTCATCCTTCGTGAATAATTATCTGATGAAGCACGTCCCTTTCCCTCCATCTTCCCAAGATTAATTCATATTCTAGGTCATCTTATTCTGCTCCATCACTAAACAGCCTTTGAATCCTGACAGCCAGCTCTGAATTGTACCTTTGGTAACCCTACACCGTTTTCTAAGTTCTATACTCCAGGCTCTGCATAATATCCACACCCCAAGGAGTACTTTCCTATAAACATTAAAAATATCTCTTCTCTATACACAAAAGATACGAGTTATCAGGAGTTCCGAAATTATTATTTGCATCAGTGTAACTAACGGCATAAAGATATATATTTGCTAATACTAACAACAGGAAGAGAAACGAAAGCAGGAAGAGAAGCAGCAGAGTCGTGTGGACTCTGCCGCTGCACCAACAGCTGTGACAATCAATACATGGTGCAGGCAGTCACTTGCTGACATGCTTTAAGTAGAGGACGTTCACCCATCCCACCACCTACAAAGTAATTTTTTATGTGGTCAATACTAGTATTGGGAATATCTTAAGTTAACGCGTATTAGCTGTAATCTCCCAAACCGCGTTTCGAAATAACTTGGCTGAGTTGCTTGGTTCACCTACCCTGGCAGTTGTCCTGGCTAATTGGATAGGTTTCCTTCCAAATGTTTTGACACTTGCCTGTTATCAACAACTAGGTCACTGATGCCATATACAGATATGCATCCGAGAGTAAATTCACACTGAAATGACCATGACTGCAAAAATAATTTTATTTATTTTATTATCACACTGGCCGATTCCCACCATCATTCACTCCATCACTGTCTTGCCAGAAGGGTGCTTTACACTACAGTTTTTAAACTGCAACATTAACACCCCTCCTTCAGAGTGCAGGCACTGTACTTCCCATCTCCAGGACTCAAGTCCGGCCTGCCGGTTTCCCTGAACCCCTTCATAAATGTTTCTTTGCTCACACTCCAACAGCACGTCAAGTATTAAAAACCATTTGTCTCTATTCACTCCTATCAAACATGCTCACGCATGCCTGCTGGAAGTCCAAGCCCCTCGCACACAAAACCTCCTTTACCCCCTCCCTCCAACCTTTCCTAGGCCGACCCCTACCCCGCCTTCCTTCCACTACAGACTGATACACTCTTGAAGTTATTCTGTTTCGCTCCATTCTCTCCACATGTCCGAACCACCTCAACAACCCTTCCTCAGCCCTCTGGACAACAGTTTTGGTAATCCCGCACCTCCTAACTTCCAAACTACGAATTCTCTGCATTATATTCACACCACACATTGCTCTCAGACATGACATCTCCACTGCCTCCAGCCTTCTCCTCGCTGCAACATTCATCACCCATGCTTCACACCCATATAAGAGCGTTGGTAAAACTATACTCTCATACATTCCCCTCTTTGCCTCCGTAATAAATAATTTCAGCTTACTATTTTCTGTTCCATTGTCTGTACCAGCTAATCTGCTGCATTTTGATTTGCTTGACCTATGATACACGATGGTATTAATATAATCTCTTTCAGAAAAAAATAGCGGATGTGTTCAGAGTGGGTGCTGGAGGGGGCCTCTGCTTTTGTGGCATTAACATGTACTTCAAGAACGAGAAGTTTTATGACGACTGGGTGATGCCTATCTTCAATCGCATGGAACCAGAGACAGCACACGCAGTGGCACAGCAGGCAGCTAAATATAAACTTGTGTCTAAGGAGAAACTGCAGGAGTCAAGGCTTTTGGTAAGTACTCAGCCTTCGTCTAGGGCCAAAATGGATCATAAGGAATCAGTGGAAGATGAATCTAGCAAAACTTATGACAACAGTATTGGGGGTGAGTTCAGGGACTCCAGTGAAGACTTGATTGGCTCTCAGTATGATAAAGAATTGACTCGAACCTTTGAACCGGTATGTCAGTCAAAGGTTTATGACTCTGAATTTGAGCCTGATGAAGCCTGTCCCGTGCTTTTTGGTGATGCTAATGAAAACTGTCAGTACCAGGTGGATAGTGATCTGAGGGAAGCGTGTGACGAATGTCACAAGGTTATTAAATGTTTAGGTGATGAATCCAAAGTATGCAGTGTTAAGAAGACATATATTGGTGATATAGGCCACTATAGGAGTGATCTTAGAGCCTGTGCTTGTAATTCTCCTAAAAATGAGCGGAACTGTGTGACCCCAGACTCTCCCTCTCTTAGTATGAGAGTTAACATCGCTTCTCCGCTGAGGAGCAGTAAGATGTCCCTAGCCACTATGGTGGACGGTAGCAACCCCGCTTACGACCAGGATCATCCCGATGAAGCTGTAGATCTAGTTGACAAAGTAGATGAATGTTTACTCTCCTGTGAAGATGATTGCATTAGAACAAATATAGTCGCTATTGTAGACAGCGTAGGTGAAGAGTATACGTGTAACAATAGAGACGAACTGAGTTCGACCACATCTGAACTGCGTGATGGTAAAGGCTCTTCCGATTCGGTCTAAGTGGTGACAGTGCTTTTATTAAACATAAGCATGCGTATAAATATATCGGATTTCCTCCAGTATAGGTTGTGGATTTGACACTTTTTTATATATGAACTTAAACTTTCATGGCATGAGCACACTATTATCTTACAAAATGTAAGATTATCGATATTTAGCTTTCTTACATCTAGCATGGAGAGCAATACAATGCTTATTTTTATACATCCTATAACCGTTCTGAAAAAGTTAAATGCAGGCATTGCATGATAAAAGGATCCATAAAAGTGCATGCACCTGAAAACTCTACATTCATTTTTTATTTTCTATCGGAATTATTTTTGTGTGGTCATAATTATTTAGTCGCTTTATTTTAACTTATAATTTAAATCTGGATTATGAAACTTAATTTTGAGCCTTTTGTTTTGTTATAAGTTAATTTAAACTTTACACAGACCACTATACAGAGCTCAAATAAGTTTAGTAACCTTTTTTAATTACTCTTTATTTTGTTTTCTTTTTGGTTGGCAGACTTCTCCGGTGTGTACGTGTTCCTCGAATCATTCTAACACAGATATGCTGAACTAATGACTGCTAGTCAACGCTGCTTTGAGACAGAGGCAGAAACTGCTTTAATTTGGAAGTTCATTGACGCTCCTCACAATGTGAATGATTTTAGCTTTAATCTTTAGTTACTTTTGACATATCCATTTTAGCTTTAATCATTAGTTACTTTTTATATATCCATTTTAGCTCCTTTAGTTCCTTTTTTTCTTAGGCCATAATATTAACGAAGACGGGAAGGAATTAGGGTAGGATAAAGCAGCAAAAAATGTTAGGGGTGGGTTATAAATGTGGTTTTTGCTAGTTATTTGTTGCAGCTTTAATATCTAGTTTTGATATGTCCGCTTTTAGGTTCATGTACTCTAATTTACATAGTTTTAATGTATGCATGGTGCCAATTTATGAATATATTTTTCATATTTTTTAAGCATGTCCACGGGTGTATACACAGTATATCAACGTGCAGTTGATAAGCTAACAAACAAAATTCAGGACCACTTTTGACAATGTTAAATATAATTTAGTGGTATGTGAAATTGTAATATTCATTAAAATAATTAGAATGAATTAAAAGATAATTTATGGTTTCATTAAACGGAATATTTTGGAACTCATGCTCTTTGAGCTGGATAAAGTTCTCTGTAAATAACTTTTGAGATTTGTTCATTCTGTTTGGAACATAATTAACTGTGACTACAAAAAACATGGTGCTGATGGTGAAATGTGTAATATTCATTTTGTTATTAATGGGACAAATGGAGACTATAAATCAGACTATTTGTAACCTGAAGAGGTTGAAGTGTTGTCTTGTGGGTTCATTTATGCTTTACTGAATTCATGTACTGTAATGAAAAGTGCACATTTTGCTTTGTGCAACTGGTACAAATTAATAATTTAGTTCCCCTTTATACTTAAATAAAACTTTAATAAACTTTTATATACTTCATCTTGCTGATTCAGAGGAGTATTATCAGAGGTCTAGGCGAAGTTTGGCATTATTTCGCATCAAAGACTTTTGTAGACCTAAGAATTATTATACAGAGAACGGGCCACATTGGAACTGGAATTTATTGAAAACCCTCATTCGATGTTACGAAAAAACTTGTAGAACAAGTGTGGTTTCCATTTCACTAAATTAAAATTATATTAGTGATTAAGTATTATTGTGACATTTTACCAAATTAGTCATTATTAGACTATAAATGCTGTGATTGTGTAATTAAGTTTTCCTAAATCGTGTAATCAATAGGTCTTAACCCCAACTAACGAACTAACCAATCATTTATTGTGAAACCAAATGGTAATTTCATGATTTTTTCCCATCATTTTGTTTAAAGATGTACAAGTATATATTTTTATACAGACTCTGCCTCCTAGTATCACCATGGTTTATATAATATCGGTGAATTTAGGGTTTTTTATATTTTCATCTTGAGTCTCATCAATCTAAAATCTTCAATTACTGTATTTATTGGGCATCGAAGACTTTACTTTTTCTGGCAGCTGAAATAGTACCGTGTCTATTAATGATCATCTGTAAATAGCACACAATTTTTGTACTGTTGAATAAAATTGATCATTTGCTAGGATACAATTTTTCGCACCCTTTTCACTGTCAGTTACATGTGTGATGTGTGCTAGTAGGGTGGCTAGCAAATGTTTCAGTTGTGGAGGAGCTAGCCATTCCAGCTAGCACACATGGAACCATTGATCTCCCACCAATCACGCCTGTAACTATACCTGAATATGATAAGGAGCCTGTCACTCTTCCGAACACACATATAACCCCATCCGAAGCTGGAGATGAGGTAATCGTACGGGAATTACCTACTATAAAAGACAAGTTATCCATGCCAGAGAAAAGACGAGGATGTACTTGTACTTGCTTCCATGGCAGACATTGGTCTGAGACACCCATGAAAGGGAGCCAAGGCCGGGCCACCTCTTGGAAAAGGCCCGGACTAGCCAATTATACCGGTGAATCTACTTCCTACATGCCAGAGAACATCAATGGTACCTGTTAATTATTATATACGATGTATTATATACGATGCATGACTGTCATATATGATGATCTGCCCCATCACTTCCCAATCACTCTTAATTAACCGGGAACACAAAAATAACTTCATCAACTACTTGGATCAATGTTATTTGCCCACTCGCACAAAAATTTAATGATTTAATTGTCACCATTGAGACATTAAGGACAAATATTCCACCATAAATGACAATACGTACCATCATTAATACAATCCATAACTATGCAATTTAATACATGAAGCTAACAAAACATCGTATATCGTATCGTAAATGCTGAACCCCCAGACTTGTTCAGAACTTTCTAAGTTGCACTATCAAATGCAAGGAATAGAAAGCAAGAACCTAGGCGACAGGAGTGGGAACATTTTGTTAGTTAAATAAGTCTGGCTTGAAAAGGCATAAATAAAATAACCAGGAAAAAGAGTAATAATGTTGCACATACCTTTCCTCTTGAAAAAAAAAAATACCTATAAATAACTGGTCCAAAGTATCCAGGCATGAAAAACTCCCATCTCATGTTAGAAGGCTGAAACTGATTAATTTTATGATCCAAAACAGTGAGTGATTGCCTCTTCACTGAGTATGAATTATAGTGCGTTAAATAACGTCGATCAACCGTTCCTGGAGAGGATGGTATAACTTATATCCTCAGCTGTACGGCAGGTCCTTAATAACCTTTTGTAAGCACTATAATCTCAATTCCATCGAGGGTGTTCTTCCTACTTCCTGGACTAATAGTCTCATTGTGCCTATCCTTAAACCGCAACAGTCTCATACATTTAGACCAATCTCCTTAACTAGTTTTCTTTGTAAAACTTTTGAAAGAGTGATACTTAACAGACTATACTATAGAATCAGGCACCAACTTTCCCCTCATTACTGTTTCCATGATATGAAAAAGTGTACAATTATATTTCCACCTTTCTCGCTTCACTACTAGTTTTACCACATATTTCGATCTAAAACCTGCATTTGATACCGTTATATTACATGAATTAGCCGAAATAAATATTGGTGGTAGCCTACTTAGTTGGATAATACGACACCTGTCAATAGAGTATCCTCTGTTCTCTACCAAGTCTTTAGAAGCGAGTCTAAAGAAATTATCTAAATTCTCTAACTTACCTAAACATATAGTTACAAGCTATGTTGACGCCATCATGAACCATATAACAGGGTATAAATAGACGAGTACCACTTATAACGAAGTTCAAGCAATTTGTAATCGATTAGGCTTCATCACATCTTCATCTAAAACGAAGATATTGATCAGCAAACTACATGCCACACCCATCTGTTTGCAGATGTTCTCTAAACTGTTGTTGGCTACAACCCCAACTATGGCGCTAATTTGAGAATGATGTATACAGCCTATATTAGATCCTTAATTGCTGCACCCTGTAATATTAGCTAAGGAAAATTTTCTCTGGCCCTTGGACTTAATATGAGGAGGGAGCTTGGTGTTTCTAATATCAGTGATAGGATTATTGAGATTAACACTGTATTTGGTATTAGAATGTTAAAAAATGAACACCCGACACTGTCATTATGAATCTTAATAAATGTCTAGAAATACACATATATCTAAATAGGTTGTGAAAACATGCTATTATATTAAGTTTTGTAACGTACGAACTGTATCACTGTAAACAAGAGCATTTCACTCTTCCATGGACGATGTGTTCACAAGTAATCCCTTCGTTAAATCGCTTGTAAAACAACTGCTCAATAAGAAATTTCGTAAGTTATATACACTGATGGATCAGAGCAGGAGTCTTTTGGTAGGGCTGTATCTGCTCTTGTTGCCACCTCCCTAGTTTAGAACGATAGGAACTTTGTCGAGTCAGGCATAAGAATTAACATTGGGCGTCTACACTGTAAACTGAATTGTCTGCCATCCTAATGGCGCTCGCTGACGCTACATTATGTCACTGAGCCTGACTCTTGATTATTACTGATTCTGTCATCAATGAAGGCTCTTCACTCATATAATGACTTACAAGATGCTCATTGGAGAAGCCAGATACAGATACTCAAAAATTCGAGAAAAAGGGAATTAATGTGCAATTGTTATAGATTCCATCACACAGTCCATCATGATGAAGTTATGTTAGCCAATGTAGAATATAACTTAAGTGTATCTGTGTATCAGCATTAGGAATAATATTAGGAAAGAAGTAAATAATGTAACTGAATGCAGTTAGAAGCCTGAGTAGATCTATAACCCACTATGATAACATGAGCAACTTGCAATGTGAACAAACTGACTGATGTTGTAGTAGCCAGGCTTAGGTTTGGTTACAAGTACTTCTGGCAGTTTGGCAGATACACATATGATCAAACCAAATGCCAAGTATGTGGTCAACCCTATGTTCACTATCTTGAACACCATGTGCTTTATTGTCCACTTATTGAGGAATGTAGAGATGGACGGTATAATAACCTATGTGATATGTCAGGGTATCTTATTAATGAAAATATGATACCAGATATATTAAGCAAATTTCCTAAATTTGCTTTCAACATAAAAATCAACTGCAGATATAAATCCTGATATATTCCTGTCAACCCTTTTGGGGCCTACTTCCTAGGCCTTTCGTGTATCCATATATTCCTGGGGTGCACAATTAACTAGCCGCTTCCGCGGCAAAATCAAAATCAATTATTCTTTATTAAAACTCATTGCAATGTGTAAAATCCAAAAATCTCTCTTTACAGTGTATAAATACAAACTCTGCACTATAAGTCATTCGTGAGAATTTTGTTTTTCAGATTTTGCAATTATGTATAAAATTATAAGAAATGTGATTTATGCCAACGCGTTGCTGGTTCGTCTCCTAGCCACATGCATAGTCAAACCCCACACTGCCCATCCTTCACAAATTGAAAGTTGAGGAAGTTCAGTTGAAAGTATGTTTAGCTTCTAAGAGCTCTGCAGTAGTTAGTTATTGTGAAGCAGTTTGATGTTACCTTGTTTTGAGTGGTTTTTGTTATTAGTCCCAAAAAGTGATTCATTCCTGAAATTAATTAATTAGGAAAATGCTACTGTATGCGAAACGCATTAACCCTATTAGTTTAATCAGTGTGTTAAGATAGGATATAGTTCCTTAAATCTCATGTTATGACTTAGGTCTAATTAAAAAAAGAAACTAACTTAACACACTATACCCGACCCATCTTAAAATTAATCAATTTAAAACATACACACAAACATGGAAAAGTAAATACTACTGCACTGCAGATGTGGATTCTTCTCTCATTTATTTCGCTTATAAAGTTTAAATGATCCAAATTAAAAAAAAAAAAAACTGATATTGTTTCTGACGTTGGATTACCTGATGAATTACCCCAAGGAAAATAATGAAATATAGTTATGCAAATTCTTAGATAGGTAAATTAAGCTGTTTAATCTTAGGTAAATTTTACAGGGTTCAGTCAGATTGTTTTGTCAAAGTTCAAAATATAAAAACAAAGGCAAATAAATATTATACATACCTATATTTGACTGTTTTCCTTGGAGGAAGGTACTTAAAATGATCCTTCATATTTTAAGTCACTGTGTATGAAGCGACGGGGAAGATCTCAAGTGAGGACGCTGCTTACACAGTAATATTAGACAGATTATCACAATCACTTCTGCATAATGTACGCATTTTTTGAGGTCTGAGTGTCCTGTGTATTTCCCTTAACTATTATAATCTCAACTCATTGAATTATCAAATACTCTTGCAACAAGTGTTATGCACATTTTCGGATAAATACGATTTGTTACAGTATGGACATATTTTCTATTTTGAAAATAAGAATTTCTTGTGATATAAATTAAGTTACCTCAGTACATACAGTATGAGTGATTTTTTTCAGGGATCTCTAATGTTAAAGTATTTTGATAGGAAGTCGATGTATGCATACATTAGGAACCTTATAAAGAAGCTATTGCAATGCGTGTATATTATATTACCCATTGCTCTTAGAGTGTAAGTTCGATACCTGATCTGATCGCTGTATTGATATTGTAGGTTTAAGAAATGTCATTTTGGTTATCAAATCTATATTATTATTATTATTATTATTATTATTATTATTATTAATTATAAAATGACACTGATAAAAATAGGGGTTGCAATGACTCAAGAAATGAGAATAGTATTCAAACTACAGAGTATTTGAAGATATGCAGTTATTAAACCAATGTGAGTGGGACGAAGCTTCACTATCACATATCACAAGCAATGTACGACATTATGGCTAAATTCTTACAATCACCATGAGCTGGCTTATGTAGTGGAGTAAACTATAATATGACTCTTGTATGTATTATCACTAGGAAGCAATAAGGAAGAGAAGGTAATGTTAACGAAACACGAGTGGTTTATCCACAATTTATTTGTACATAGAACATTTTGAAAGATCATGGACTGATTTAGTTTTTTATATTTTGACGGCAAAAAAAAATAATAAAAACTATGTGATATATGCTGCAGTAAGATTACTTTTTTGTAATAAAATCTTAAACTTCAAGCTTATATTTTACTACCCTTCTGTGGATATTTTGCGAAATTTATGGGGAGAGATACCTAAAGCTAGTACCTGACCAGCCGGGCTGTGGATCGTACGTTGGATTACGTACGGCCGGCAGTAACAGTCCGGTTGATCAGGCCCTGATCCTCCTCGAGGCCTAATCATGAACCGGGCCGCGGGGGCGTTGACCCCCGAAACATACTCCAGGGATGTGACCCAAGGCACACGTATGGCAACACCAATATCAAGGAAAGTATTAAAACCCTGGTTATTTAACCTAATTTTAGGTATCGAGGCACTCTCCTTGAAAGCTGTGGAGGAGAAACACTCAAGGTTACCACACACTTCTCATCCATCAACAGTAATGTTCATATTACGTCTTTTTATATACAGAATGTGCTTTCGGAGCTGAACAAGTGGAGCCCCAGTACATTTAACAGAATGAATGTGGGACTTAATTGTGTGAAGATAACAGTGGAACTCTGCCAAGCGCAAGTCCCTGTACTGTAGTCATGTCCACTCAGGAGAGGTGCCTTGATGCCGGTGAAGGGCTCTTTAATCCAAGGAATTGGACCTGTTTTCCCTTTCTTTGGCTTGATCCTGTCTACTATTCCTCCAGGCGCTGTTTGACCCCTGTGGGATTAGCGTTGACCCGTGAATATAATAATGTGGAGCCACATATATGAAGATAAGCTATGTCGACGTGGCGGCGAACCTGTGAGGACGTTGACGGTGATACAGTAGTTGTTAATACACTCATTGAAGATCAGTACTGTTAAATATTAGGCCTTTCATAAATTCCCCACATTAGTATTTACAGTAACCCCACCCAAAGTGACAAATAACAAAAGGATTCAGTTAAATGGAAATTATTAAACCGAATAAATTATCATTGGGTAAACGCTAAACCCATCAGGACCACGCAGATTCCGAGGAATAGGAGGTAATCAGATTCGATCCAGACCCCTCAGGGAAGGTTCCTTGACGCTGGTGAGGGGCTCTTGATCTGGGGAACTTGATTTGTGTTCCAGTTCCCCAAATTGAATCTGAATACCTTCCATCCCCCCATAGGCACTGTATAATCCCTACGGGTTTAGTGCTTCCCATGATTAGTAAAAAAAAAAGATTCGATCCAGAGAAGCGGAGGGCAACTCCATCTCCTTGGATCAAGGTTCTTTCACCAGCATCAAGGCACCCACTTCCCCTTGAAGGAGAATAAAGTGAAGTGGTAGAGACGCACTGTGAGGTGCAGCTGGTGCTTGTTGGCAGGTTAATTGGTATGAAGCCTTTAGACTACACAAGTGTCATTAAGGCTGTCCACCACCAGTCAAGAATACTTCAATGAGTAAGACATGTATCTAAGCAATCTCAGCTTATCTGCACATAGATGCATTATTATTCGGGTTCGATCCAAGGAGAGATAGGACAGATCAAATTCCTTGGATCAAGGTCCCCCTCACAAACATCAAGGCATCTTAAGGAGAGAGATCACCTGTGGATAAGGTCCTCCCCCATCCTGCCCGAGCCACCTGAGGCCATTACCACTCAGTTCAAGAGGCGCCAGGGAGTGGGTAAGGTGTTGCTGCTCTCTTTCCAGACTTCAACTACTGGAGTAGCTGTACAACTGGAGCAAGTACTTGATTACGTTCTTGTTTTTGTTAGCTCTTACAGGCTCCTTACTGATTAGAGACGACGTAATTTTAGGGCAATTGGTGTTAGTTTAATTTACTATCTCTACACAAATAACCCGAAACGTCGTCGTGTGCGGGTTATTTGTGTATCGTTCCAGTCACGGTATTGTGCCTTTATTGTTATTTACTATCTTTTTTTATGCACCTCAACCCATCCTGGGGACCTTTTGTTTTGTGAAGCTAGAAAAACTAGTAATGTAATTTCCTGTACCACATTGTTCCTAATAAAAGTATACCACTGAGTTTCGGCCATTAATTACAATGTGACTTACAGTGTTATGTTGGTTTTACAGTTATATTGCTAGATAGCCCTTTCGGGTTTAGTGCTTAATTTTATATTATTTGCATTATTATTATTTGCATTATTATTATTTGCATTATTATTATTTATATTATTATTATTTATATTATTATTATTTATATTATTATTTATATTATTATTATTATTTGTATTATTATTATTATCTGCATTAGCATTTTTATTATTTGCATTATTATTATATGCATTATCATTATTATTATTTGCATTATCATTATTATTACTTGCATTATCATTATTATTATTTGCATTATTATTATTGTTATTATTTTCTTGTGTAATTGGTGAAAAAGTAACCTATCCTAAAGGAACCCACCCAACCCAAGCTAAACTAACTACTCAAGGACCCCAGTGGAAGTCACTTTTGACATTTTTGGTTATCCTAGGTAACCTACACATAGTTGCTTCCTATAACAATTTATGTGACTTTATTTATGCGTACCTGTACCTGAATAAACTTAATTACTGTGTAACAACTTTACTCCGCCACCGGTAGATATGCTTGTTGTTTTGCATTCTGTGAGGCGTGTGTGCTCTGTAGAAAGTGTTGCTTCGTGACCCTTGTGGATTTAGCGCTTAGTTTTGATTGTACAAATCATTGGTTGGCTCAGACTTGTTGCACAACCAAAATAAATGTACCATTTTCGTAAATACTTCTCAGATAAACAGAGTTTGCATAAGAAACACTTGTATAGGTTATACATATGCATAAGAAACACTTGTATAGGTTATACATATGCATAAGAAGAGCACTATAGCAAGCCTGGAAATAAATGGTATAAAATACCGACACAGTGGAAAAAATAAACAGAAGCAGTATAATATGATCCTTTATTGACAATGTTTCGCCCACACAGTGGGTTTTGTCAGGTCAATGAAGGATCACATTATACTGCTGTGTTTTTCCTACAGACCTACTGGCCCATGCTAGGGACGTCCAAACCACACCCGCGCAAAAAGGAAGGAGCACTGCTGCAGGCATACTGGCCCAAGCTAGTTAGGTCTAACTCACACCCACTCGTATATTTATCTAACCTACTTTTAAAACTAGGCAACATTTTGGCTTCAGTGGCGTTATTCGGGAGTTTGTTTCACCCATCCACTAATCCATTATCAAACCGGTGCTTTCCTATATCCTTTATAGATCAAAATTTTTCCAATTTGAACCCATTGCTGTGAGTCCTGTCTTGCTTGATATTTTTAGCACATTATTTATATCCCCATTTTTTTTATTCCTGTTATATATTTATACACCTTAATCATATCCCCCTTAATTCTACGCATTTCTAGAGAGTGTAGATTTAGGTTGTATGTATTTTAAGATGTAAAGGCATACCTAAGTTTCTTCGAGTAGTAGTAGTACCTAACAAAACAAAGGAACGTTTTCCTTTTCCTTCTGATCACCCAGATGATACCCGAATTTGCAGGACAGTTTGCATGCTAGAACTGATGAATTTGCTAAATTATATGCCTTTAAAGAGAGAGTAAATTACAATCGTGTGTTGTCAGTTAGCTGTTTGAGAACAATAATACGAAAAGAACTTTATCTGAACCAGTTAGTCCATATATCATCATTCTATCATGCAGGAGCCACATGTCTATGGTACATCCAACAAAATAAGCAAACTCCTGTATGTCACTACCGTCCGGCTCCGCCTGGGATACCTTAAGTATGTTTGGGAATCTGGAGTTTATCTGGAGAGAGTTCCGGGGGTCAACGCCCCCGCGGCCCGGTCTGTGACCAGGCCTCCTTAGGTCAGTGTCCCAGGATGCGACCCACACCAGTCGACTAACACCCAGGTACCCATTTTACT